AAAAGGTCTGCCTTGAGCATGGTGCTCTTTTAAGAACTATCTATTATGTGGTCAAATTGACAACAGCTACTCAAAAGATAGACAGGAATCTTAGGGAACAGTGACTTTATGTTAATGAGGGAGAAACAAGTCAGAAAAGGAGGGTGAGAATGGTTGCACAACTCGAAGAATGTAATCGATGTCACTAAATTGTACATTTAGAAACTGCTGAACTGGTGTTATGTTCTGCTGTGTATATTCTCAATAACAACAACAAAATAAAATTTAGAAGGAAAACAAATTTTTTAAATAAAAATACCAGAAGCTACCCTGCAATGTGTACCAATTAAAAAAAAAACAACAAAAAAACCTGTTGCCATCGAGTCAATTCCAACTCATGGTAACCCCATATGAGCTCTCTGATAAGTTATATCAAGGGCCTTAAAATTTTTCAAACCCTATGATCCACGAGTTATCACTCCCAGGAATCAATTATAAGAAATAATTTAATATTATTAATAATAATAATTTAACATATAGCCAAACATTTACGTACTGATGTTAGTACCTTAAAAAAGTAAAACAGAAAATTAAAAAAAAAAAAAAACTAATCTCTAAGAATAAAGAACAGCTAGCTTAAGAAAGAAATGACCATACAGCAAAACAGTCTCAAATCAGCACACTTTAAAATAAATTTCTAAGGTCATTCATCCTTAAAAAGACAATTATAGTTCTGAATGCTCTAGACCTACTCCAAGTTCAAAGTGACAACAGATCACTGTTGTAAGTTTTTGATGACATAGGGAAATGTTTATGACATAAAATCAGGCAATTTTAAAAAAGATATAAAATAGATTTTCAGGCTATCTCATTAATCAAAAATGACATGGAAAAACAACAAAACGAAACAAAAAAAGATTAGAAGGGGATGTGCCACCCTGCTTTGGACAGTTGAAATCTGAGTGTTCTACTTTTCTCTATTTTCCCAGTTTCCAAATTTTTTCAATGATTGTTTATTACTTAATAAATGGAGAAAAACTAAAAACTGGGAACAAAAATATAAGCACTGGATTTATCATTTACCAAAAGAAGTCTCACTGAATGAGTAAGAGCAAACTATCAGATTGCTCAGGGTTGAGAAACAAATGAAAGCTAGACAAACTAAACATATACAGATGACACTTAGAAAAAGACCAGATACGCATGACATAAGAACAGCAATTCCAAAATTGGCGATATGTATCAAAATACTAAAATGCACAAGCCCTTTTATTCTCCTAATGTACTCTGCATATGAATGGAATTCAAGTTTTTTTTTAATTTACAGATCTGTAAATCTAATTTTTCTATAATGAATATGTCCTATTTTTGTGATCACTAGTATATAAACTTTGCCCAACAAAATTCACATTCTAAAGTCAGAGAATCTAAAGTCAAATTGTTTTAATTAAGCCCTTAAATTCTTACATATAAGAATTATGGCAAAGACTAAATGAGCACATCAACACATTTTAAATAAATTTCTAAGATTATTCATATTCAAAAAAGTTATACTTCTGTATGCTCTGGAACTATTCCAAATTTTAAAATGACTAGCATATCACTATCATTTAAAAAAACAAACAAACCTATATTGCTTGTTAAACAAGTCCATTTCAACAAAATAAAAACTGGTATCAACTGTTATATCTGACAGCTTTTCCCAAATAATATTACATGGGATGTTAGTAGATATAAACCATATTAAAAGAGGGGAAGTCCCTTAATCAAATAAATTGAAGAAATGCTGGATTAAGCAGGTTTCTTCATAGAAGAGTCTTTATGTTGAACGTGCATAGTAATCACTGAGACAGTGTATTTTCTAAATTTAATCTTAAAAAATAAGTGATTCTATATCCTAAATAAACTGAATTTGGTTACCACTTGATTCAAAGGAGAAAGAGTAGCACCTAGGTTTCCAGGATGATGGTGCGCTTGGGTAGAATGGCATCGTTCATCAATAGTGGGAGTAAGAGCGAGACGGGGCAGATCTGTGCAGGAGAGGTATCCAGTAGGCGATTACATGAGTGTGGAACTTAGCAGAGAAGGCTGGGACACAAACAGATGCTGGTAACATCAGCATGTAGGTGTCCTCTAAGCCATTACTATGAATGCAATCACCCAGAGAATGTTTTCTGTTTTACTTGAGGTGCCTTGAGCTCAACAGCTAAGTCTTAAAGATTTACCATAAACATCCACTGCATCATTTATCTGTTTACATATCTGCTCCCTCCCTCAACTGAAATGTATTTCTTGATCCTTAAGAACATGAATTACATAATTCATCCTTATAAACAGAGCACCTATTACAGTACCTGGTAAAGCAAATCTTAGCTAAGTGTTAGTCACACGAATAAGTTGTCTTCCAAACATCAAAAGATAATTTAATTTTACCTCCTTTATGCTCTAATTATATTTTTAAAAATATACACAAAGAACCTTAAATTAAACACCTATATATACACCTACGTGAGTTACACCAAGTCAGACTTTGGCTTGGTGTTCAGTCAAAATACATTCTTAAGTTTTGGCTTCTGAAAGGCTAATCATCAGCCAATGCCTACCTTAATGTCCTTTCTAGTGTCCCTGAATCAATAGGATGGTATGAGAGAGTGAGTCAAGATCACATCTAAACAGCATAACAAAGTCACTACCATGAACAATGCCTGGGGAAAGCAGAAGCTTTCAAGTATGCATAAGCGTTCTATCGGCTGAAGTATAATAAACGTGTACATAGTAGGACAAGAGCTAACTCCTCCATTAATGATGATTATGAAAGCTGTTAACTGTTTAACATAAAACTTGCAAATTGTTAAAATGGAAACTATACCAACAGCTAACATATATATTTAAGAGGGTGCTAGATCTTTTTCCCTTATAAGCTAACAAATTTTGATAATTTTTAACGAACACAAAGTCAAATAAGAAAGACTGGATTACATCGTAAATCAATTAATCTTTGTAGACTTTGTCTTGTGTTCTAGCATTCATAAAATTAACCAGATAACCTTTATAAACTGTATTTATTTAGTTATTTCATTCTATTGAGGGCATAAGTCTTTCAAGAAAAAGGGATAATTGAGAACTCTTCATATTTTATGAGGACAAACTAGAAGTAAAATATCTACTTCGCCAACTAAAAATTTCATGAGGGAAAATCTCCAAAATCAATGCTATCCATGGATAAATCTGTGAGATACCCCAAAGGTACTTTGTTCCTCTACTGACCTCAGTTGAAAGTGAGCATCTACTTGGTATAGCCAATGTGCAGTAAAGTGCCCAAGGAGCAATCTGGGAGTGACAGTGCTGAGAAACTGTTCCTGCACCAAAAGGTCAAACTTATAAAATCTGACAGCAAAACATTCTCATAAAATTGTAGAAATTTTCTGTAAATATCCCTGATTTCTCTATGAGGATCATATTTAGCCTTGCCATAATGCTGACCTTAACAACAAGCCCCGCAGCCAGAATGCATATCCAGGATACCTCTAACATGCACAGGTAAAAATACAGGTACATGCCTATGTGCACAGAGAAGGGAGAGAGACAGAGTTGGGAAATTCTTATTACTCAATTACCTTTGACTTAAAAAAGACTCACCGATAGATTCTTACACATAAGTCACTCATGAACGTTATAATTCAATTTATAAATATATTCAGCACATTTCTCCATACAAAATGGTACGCCCAAAACATCAGATTTTAAAATCCCACTTTAAAGTCAAAAATGGTAACTTTTTCCTTTTAGAAAACAGATCACCAAAACCAAGAAACAATCACAAAAACTTTAACAGCTATACCAACAACATAATTAGCTACCTATTTAAGATTTATGTAGTTAGTTCTCTTCCAGTTAAAGGCCACATTTTCTTTTTTCTCCCCATACAAAAATTTATACATACATTGTTACATGACTGTAACTGCTCTCCCCATACTGTGACAGCACACTCCTCCTTTCCACCCCTGATTCCCCATGTCCACTCAACCAGCTCCTAACCCTCACTGCCTTCCCATCTCACCTCTGGAAAGAAGCTGCCCATTTAGTCTTTTGTATCTACTTGAGCTAAGAGGCACACTCCTCACAAGTATCACTTTATGTTCCACAGTCCAGTCCAAACCCTGTCTTTAGAGTTGGTAAAGGCCACATTTTCAAACATTAGTTTATAATCAAACAAGACCTCATAAAGACTCTACAAATATAAATCACTTGGTTCATCAAAACGTCTCACTATCTGCCTGATTTTCAATAACATACACGTTTAAAAGTTATTAAGAGTTTCAACACAGCCATATAGGTAATAACCTCCATTTTTCTATGTACAAATAACATCACCTCAACTAATTATAAAGCAATAAAAAATATCCTTTCAAAAATGCCTTCATACTGCTTCTCCTGCATAAATACAAATGGCAAAAGGGAGGGAGGGACCAAGAAAGGGAGGAAACAGGGAAAGAGAACCGACAAAGGGAGAAAAGCAGAAAAACCCAGACACAGATTTTCTTAAGGGATCAACTGCGTGTAATATTCTTAATATTCTGAGCTTTACTAAAGATACACTACTAACATCTACTCCCTATGCCTTTACAAGATTTGCTACATTCTAATAAGGATCTGCAGGAGACATTCATGCAACCATAAAGGTGAATATTTATGTTATTAACAGAAATAATTCAACTGCCACCAAAGTATTAACCAACCATTCACTTCTGAAAAGCTCAAGCACCAGCAATTACTATACTCTATTTGTATTAACACCACTATAAGTCACTGATTATCAGACAATCTGAGTCCAAAAGCCAAGTTTAATAAATATCCCAGCTATCTTTGGCATTTACTGATCTACATAATCTCCTCCCCCCTCCACACACACACATACACATATGGAAATTTACCAAAAAGCAGGTCATTCCAAATATACCATCAGTCCCCACATTCTCTCAAACAACCACAGTTTTACTGTATTTCAAAACATGAGTCACCTGTATGCATCGTCTTCTTTCAAGTCTCATATCATCCTGATGGGGTGGGGGAGGGAGGGAAGAGTCCAGCAGCAAAACTATAACACTGTGTGAAGAAAAACAGATTATGATAAGAGATAATGATGCAAGACAATTACCCCAACTGAGGAATACCTCATATAACTACAACCCCCAAAATATATAGATAGAAGTACTTCAAATTTTCAAAATGTTTACTAACATTTAGTTAAGCTTACTTGAAAATTCTCCTTAGTCTTCATTAATCAAAATCAATTTTATGTGTGTGTGTATGTATATACATATATACACACATATACATTATATATTTATAAAAATATTTATCAGAGAGAATAAAAACAGTTTTTAAATCTGCCTGCTACCAATGAAAACTTCAGGCATTTCTAGGTATGGAATAAACACTGACTATTCAGCTACTCTATTATTGTTTATCTGTTAAAAAAAAAATCTATATTTTGTAATCTCTATCAATTCGCAAATCAATACAAATGTGAATTAAGTTTTCATAGTGACTCTCAAGGCAGGCAATGAAAGTTAGAGGAAAGAAAACACGTCAGTCTAGCAAAAGTTACTTGTAAATGAAGTTTTGCAACACTTCTCACAACTGTTCCACTAAGTCTATAAGCCCTCTTACTCTCAGAGCGGCTTCTCTTAACTTTATTATAATTCTCTTACAATACTTTCTACTTACTGCTTCCATTGTTATTTCATGATTGACCAACAATTTTCATAATAACTGAAGAGAAAGTAAAAGCAACCTCATTGCTGTTATCAACTAAAAGAAGACAACATCAGAAGAGACAAAGGTAAGTACAGGTTAAAACCTAAATTATAAATGGGTAGAGTCTAAAAATTTATTTTTAAAACTGATACTGTGGATTCGATGACTTTTCCTAATGCAGCAATGTTGCTTTATGTTGGCTAAGACCAGGCTAGTCAAAAGAAACCTACTGATTCCAAAAGATTTTACTGATCATGGACTACTAGGGACCAAGCAGGAGAGTACAGAAAGTTATCCAATTCTAGATCCTCCAATTACCTAACACAACTTCTGGGTTGTTTGCCTTTTTCTCAACTCCTGCTATCTGTAATCTTCTAATTTTTATATCATGGCATCCCAACCACTCTGCTTTATATTTAACTAGTTTCTTTCCCAAAGTAGTTCTATGCTCCTGAATTACCAACCAAAGATCCAATTGCTTCAGTGTAGTTCCTTTGGGGTGTCAGGAAGAAACCAACTCTACTGAAATAATTCACACTAATATTTGCACAATTGTCAATGAGGATGCTAAACCTGTTGCCGTCTAGTCGATTCCAACTCATAGAGACCCTATAGGACAGAGCAGAACTGCCCCAAAGGCTTTCCAAAGCTATAATCTTTGGGATATCACGCCTGGTAAACAAGTGGGTCAGCAAAAGGGAGGAAGACCCTCAACAAGGTGGACTCACACAGTGGCTGCAATGATGGGCTTAAGCATAGCAACAATTGCGAGGATGGCGCAGGTCTGGGCAGTGTTTCATTCTGTTGTACATAAGGCCCCTGAGTCACAGCCTTCTTGATGGCACCTAACAACAACAATCTTTACAGAAGCAGACTGCCACATCTTTCTCCCGCAAAGCAGCTTGTGGGTTCAAACCACCGACATTTCGGTTAGGAGGACATTTCGGTTAGCATTTAACCACTGCGCCATCAGGGCTCCTTAGGAGGATGCTAGCTAGCCCAACTGAACCTCTAATTGGTAGAATTTCAAGTAGTGTTGCAAAATGAAGTAAAAAAACTACTCAGGCAGTTTGAAGAAAAACATTTCTGGGCAAGTGGTTATACAGATTTAAATCCATACTTATTACCCAAAACTATTTCTGCTTTCACTTATTTCTCCTACTTCTCAACTCCCCAGGTTCTTTAAAAGCTCCCAGTGTGTACTCTAAATAGTAGCAACAGCAGACATTTCATTGGAAGAGAAGCTCAGGGACTGAGGTTTAAACGTATAGATCATTTGCATATAAGGAAGTACCCACATCTGAAATCAACTATAATCCAGATTCCATTTCTGAAGAAGTACCTTTCTAGTTCAGATACTGCTATGGCATCAAGTAAAACCCTAGAAGGTACCCAATTTTCTGAGTAGATGGATGGATAGATGGATGAGTGGTCAGATGTTGTTTTTTGTCGTCGAGTCGATTCCAACTCATAGCAAACCCATGTGTACAGAGTAGAACTGCTCCATAGGATTTTCAAGGCTGTGACCTTTCAAAAACAGATCATCAGGCCTGTCTCCCAAGGCACCTCTCAGTAGGTTCGAACCACCAACCTTTAGGCTAGTAAACAAGTGCTTAATTGTTTGCATTACCCAGGGACTCCTGGCTAGACTTTAAAGTTCTGCATTAGTTTTATTTACAAAAATAATCAATAATCAGAAAATCAAGATTAAATTATTTTTACTGTAAAGACCTAGTTTTCTAAGAATTTTCTCCCCTATAAATGGTCTGTCTTAAAAATTCTAGTATGGATCATGGAGAAAGAAAATAGCTATGTGCTATATATATATACTCAAGTCCTTTAAGCTCTCAACATCATATTCTATCTATAAAATATTACAGTATTACAATGTTACCTACACCTATCAACTTATATACTTTTAGTAAAAATAAATATTAGTCATACATATCTATATAAGGAACAGAATCAATTAAGATATCAGAATTCTTCTTATTAAAAGTTACTAAAAATTACCCCATTTACTTCATTACAGTTTTAAACCTAAAATCTAAAAGTAGGAAACTTGCATCAAAATTACCTGACCCTAAAACTGACACCTCTTAGACATGTCATCCATTAATCACTACTCATTTGAAAAGTACCCTTTAGCAAAGGATAGTATCTCCACAAGTTACAAAATCTGCTGCTGACATATGTAGCAACTAAACCATCATAGAATCAGTAATGATAAACTCCAGAAGGCTTAACCTTAGATTGCTTTAAATAAAGATTCTAGTGATTATTGATTCCATATAGCCTTCACACTAGTCACTTTTCCAGAAAAAATTGTTTACACCAGGTCAGAGTTTTATGACAGTAGGTAGATAATACCAAACACCAAATGTGTTTGACAGACAGACTGTATATACAACATCCTCTCTAAAAAAAGCTTAGAAATCCAGAAAGTCATATTTTTAAATTTTTCTGAGAACACTTTACAGTGCACCCCACCACCACCACATCAAACGGAATCATTCAAAAATTAGGGAGCAAAGTTTAGATGCTAATGAATAGCATCTACTATCCTCACCATTGGAAGTCCCATAATCCTCAAGATCTTTTACTGTTATGTTTTAGCTCACATTTTGCTGAAGGCAATATAATGGTCTATGAACAATCCAGAAACTGAGTTTAAGTGGTTTTTGAAGTTAAACTTGCAAACGATTTTTTAGTTGCCTGAAAATCACTGCATAAAATTAACCCACAACATATCTTCAGAGAAAGGAGAATTACAAAAGGCTGTCTGAATTCAAGCACATGGTATACACTCAGGCATGGGTCATGCTGAATCAGGAACGGGTCAGGCTTAATCTGATAGATATGGTTTTATTTCAAAAATTAGGTGGAAGTACATACTTCTTTACTAATTATTATTCCTTTAATTGTACATGTTATAAATATTCTCATATACAGTTCACAACTTAAAAATTTAACTCATATGAAACAATAAAACACAATGCACAATTTAAAAGAACAATTTAAATAGCCAATTAAGAATAACTTGCAAAAAAAAGATACAGTACAAAAATGAAATCAAAGGAAGATTTAAAATATAATTCCATGGATTGAAATTACAATATGATTATCTAAAAATTATACACTATGCCTAATATTTCTTATAAACTTTTGCTCATTTACACTAACAGATTAAAGGGACAGAAGAAAATGGTGTCTTCTTCTACCATATAAGAATTTTAGCAATAGACAATCCAGAATTATACTAATGGGGCCAAAAGGAAAAGAAAACTGGAAGATGTTGTGATTTTCATGCCCAACCCACAAGGAAAAAAATGTATAATTCTAATTTCTAGTAAATGATCAAATGACATACAGAGAAAAAGCTCCTTCATTGAGGATTTCAAGTGAAAACCTAAGAAGTTAAGAACATTTATCACTCCCCAAAATTCCCTAGGAAACAGTCACAGTTTTTAAAAATAAATAAAACAAGCAAAAAAACTTTAGAATGTGGTATTGCACCAAAACTATAAGGAAAAAAACATTTACAGAACGCTTACTATGCAGCAACCACTCGGCCGAGACACTTTATAGATGTTGACACATTTAATCTCCTGATAGCTCTACAGCAGGTAGTGTTGCTTCCATTCCATCAATAGAAATGTGAAAGGTCAGAGAAATTAACTGACCTAAGGTCACAGCTTGTGAACTCTGGTCCCCCACACCAAAGTTCACCATTCTTCCACACACACACCAAGATGCCTCTCATAAAGCCCACAGAAGTGGTTGTGACAAAAATCATAAAGATGCAGGAATCCAGATGTGTCTAATTTTCCACCCTGTGCTCACTCTTTAGTAGCCCTGGTAGCACAGCGATTAAAGTACTTGGCTGCTAATAGAAAAGTTGGTGGCTCAAACCCACCAGCCACTCAGCAGGAGAAAGAAGTGGTACTCTGCTTCTGTAAAGATTTAAAGACCAAACATGGTGCTATAGACAGAAGCACCACACCTTCCTCCCACACCAAAGACCCAAAAAACTAAGTCAAACAGAGACAAACGTCAATCCTGGAACCCTAAGCATCAAATGAAGAGATAAAGAACTCAACCTAGTACCAAATGGAATAAAAAACTGACAGACAACAGAGAGCAAGGACAGTTACGAGCGGAGGTCCCCTATCAGCTAATGCAGCACAGATCCACCATCTTGGACTCCTGTCGGAGATCTGCGGACCATGAGTATGGGAAAGCGGATTCACAGAGCCCCAAGTAACCAGCGAAACACACTTTCCCACTCCCCACTCTGCCTCCCCCTGCTCAACCGTCACCACTTCCCGGCCGGCCAATTCACTGCT